GCAGTTTGCCTTTTTCCTCACCAATATTGCATAATCATAGCAAATCTTCCAATCTTTAAAATTCCAATCAGAGTAGTTTATTCCTCCAATCATGACTTAAGTTAGTTTCTTGATTCAAAATGGTATGTCTCTAATCATAGCGTTACGTCCAATCATGTAAATTTCTTTACGTCATAACCATTCTTCCAATCATATTCTTTCCTGTTGGTTTGTTATCACCAAAGACCGTGACGTCACTGCCAACTTCTGTGACGTCACCATTTACTGTGACGTCACCATCTACACTGACGTCATCACCATCCGCTGTGACGTCATCGCCTTACAAAACACGAAAAATCCAAACAATTAAAACTGAATTCCCACCCAAGCACAGAATATCATTTGCCAGGAATCCAAACAGTTTTAAAGAAATTTAGAGAATGCAAATTTTTTCACCATCTTGAGCGAACCTCTGATTGTCCAAGACTTAGTCAATATGAATTCCCATTATCCAAAACTTAACCTAATCCCATCTTTTGACTGTCTTCGCCTCAACTGATCTCAACTTTTTAACGTAGAAAAAATCTCAATTTGAATATCAATATCCCAAGTTGGTTTTAATTTGGAATATTCATGGCGATGACTATGAGTACTTCAACCTAACCTAATCTAACCTAATCTAACCTAACCTAACCTAATCTAACCTAATCTAACCTAACCTTATCTAATCTAACCCAGCTCAGTCCAGTTCAATTCGAATTCATGCCACACCTGTCCATCCACTCAGGTGACAAATCCACCCCATACCTGTCCATCCACTCAGGTGACAAATCCACCCCATACCTGTCCATCCACTCAGGTGACAAATCCACGCCACACCTGTCCATCCACTCAGGTGACAAATCCACCCCACACCTGTCCATCCACCCCACACCTGTCCATCCACTCAGGTGACAAATCCACAACACCCCACACCTGTCAAATTCGTCCCTAACTCAGTATTGACCTCTGCGTGGCACTTCTTGGAACAGGGTCAAGTATATTCCCCTGGTACACCTCACTACCAGGTCAGAGGTCATTTGGCAGCTATTATTTATGGTCATTTGACACGAATATATAACAGAAGGGAACATATTGTATATTGAAGGTTCATTTTTATAATACGGAATATATCTCAGTATATTACGGGTCTTATACGATGCTATATTGTGTTAAATGATATATTATTATTTCTTTTTATACTGGAATTATAGTATGTATAATGGTGTGTGTGTGTGTGTGTGTGTGTGTGTGTGTGTGTGTGTGTGTGTGTGTGTGTGTGTGTGTGTGTGTGTGTGTGTGTGGCCAACAGTAACGTGTACAGGACATGTTCAACGCCCCTGGTTGGTTATGCCTTATATGCAAAAAATGGTAATGATTGTTGTGTACACTGTGACCACCTGCAGTCATCGACGTGTGTGAACCTCCCCTCGCTGGCCTGTACTGTAGTGCACTTATTGTACACGGGGTTACTTTACTTAAGGCACTTTACACTTATGTACACAGTCAAAGGGCTGAGGTAGTAAAGAACTAGAGGAGGTAAGGTTATGAGGCGAGGGTGAGAGCATCCCGGGGCCAGGCAGCCTCCATGGTGGCACCGGTCTCAGAGGTCAGGGTTGGGTCTCACATTACGGGGGGGGGGGACAACTCAGTCTTACACAGGATTATCGTCCATGGTGTGATACATGTTGCTCTGTTGATCGAAGGAGCAGATTTGTTTATTCATGGTGAATCCACAGTGGCGACCATGACATCAGCCTCCAGTGGCTGTGCTGGGTGCCGCCTCCGCATCAAGTGTGGCACAGCGTGCCAGTCAGGCCGCGCCCGGCCCTCCACCACTCAGCGCCGCCCGCACCCGCTCAGCCAATGGATGACCGTGATCTTCTGGTCTCAGCGTCAGGAGCTCCGCCCTTCAGCACGCCGGTGCGGCGGGAGTGGTTGTTATGGCAACAAGGGCGGGGTTTTAAGACGCAGCTCCGCCCTTCCCGCCTGCGCCGTGGCTCTTATGTGGGTTAGTGTTAGTGTTAATGTGAACGGGATCGAGTCGACACCCGGCGCTGAGGCTGACGGCGCGGTGTTGAGGCCTCTTCCCCAGGCGACGCGCGCTGTGCCCGCGACCACAGTGATGCTCGCTGTCGTACTCTTCACACCACAGTAAAGTTAGGGGTCGTGCCAGACGGTGCCGAGTGCCGGAGCCGTGCTTAGAGTGGAGGCGACGCAGAGTGCGTGACACAAGCAGGCAGGCAGGAGGGAGGCGGCGGAGTGTGATGGCCTGAGTCTTCCCTGACGAGCCGCCCAGACCCGCCACCATGATCATTTGCTGTGCCGGCTGCGACAAACCTATTATGGACAAGTTTCTTCTGACGGTGCTGGACAGGACGTGGCACGCTGAGTGTGTGCGCTGTGCCGACTGCGGCTGTGCCCTCACCGACAAGTGCTTCAGCCGCGAGGGAAAACTCTTCTGCAGGAGCGACTTCTTCAGGTAGGATCTTGATCTTACGTCGGCAGGAGAACTTCGCCTCTACACTGTGGGGGTAACTGAGGGGTGCCAAGGGAGGGGGAGGGGGGAGGGGGTTGAGACAGATCACTCACGAAATAATATCAGTTTATGTTGATGTTTCTCACCGGCATTAAATATTCCCATAAATTCCGAAATATAAATAAAACCAAAGTGAGACAAGGAGAACTTAGCTGTGTGGGCGGTGTGGGCGGTGTGGGCGGCGTGGGCGGCGTGTGTAGTCACCAACCCGCTGTTCCTGGGTCAACTTTTATTAAATAGTTGACGCCAGAGTTGGTAAGAACATAACGGGACCCATACACGTTGAGATCAAGAACCGGGTGAGTGATACTACCAACTTCTGACGGTGGTGGTTGTTGACATACTCCGAGATAGTGGTTGACATACTCCCAGATTATGGTTGACAAACTGCCAGATTATGGTTGACATACTCCGAGATAGTGGTTGACATACTCCGAGATAGTGGTTGACATACTCCCAGATTATGGTTGACAAACTGCCAGATTATGGTTGACATACTCCGAGATAGTGGTTGACATACTCCGAGATAGTGGTTGACATACTCCCAGATTATGGTTGACATAGCCTACTCCGATTGTGGTTGACGGGAGACTGTCCACAAACAACCAACGTATCGTCATATTTCTCACCCCTTTGTCTCACAGTTAATTTGACGATGCCAGTCACGCACACCAGCTAGTGGCACCCAGTATACTACACCGTGTGGCACCCAGTATACTACACCGTGTGGCACCCAGTTTACTACACCGTGTGGCACTCAGTATACTACACCGTGTGGCACTCAGTATACTACACCGTGTGGCACTCAGTATACTACACCGTGTGGCACCCAGTATACTACACCGTGTGGCACCCAGTATACTACACCGTGTGGCACCCAGTATACTACACCGTGTGGCACTCAGTATACTACACCGTGTGGCACTCAGTATACTACACCGTGTGGCACCCAGTATACTACACCGTGTGGCACCCAGTATACTACACCGTGTGGCACTCAGTATACTACACCGTGTGGCACTCAGTATACTACACCGTGTGGCACTCAGTATACTACACCGTGTGGCACTCAGTATACTACACCGTGTGGCACTCAGTATACTACACCGTGTGGCACCCAGTATATTGCACATTTTAAGGAACCATTTAAAAACATCTCAATTTTCCGTCTGTCTTTCTATGCATATTCACTAAAAACCTCCATATACCGGACTTCTCTCCCCATATAATCCGTTAATGGGGTTTCATATTTAACGGACTCTCTCTATAACGGACTTTCATCACTATGTTTCGTTAGATGGGGGTTTCACATCTAACGGACCCTGGATATGACGTATTTTCTTTCCTATATAGTCCGTTAAATCGAGGTTTCATTGTATTTCCTTCTCATTTTCATATCTTCTTTTACGTTTTTCTTTCACTCCTCTTAAATTATCTGTACAGTAATTTAGAAACATTAAACGCATTATAATAACAGTAATTATTAACGAGCGTTGATCCTGAAGGCAGATAACGCGGACATTTGCATTTATAACCCGCGTAAAAAAAGAAAAGTAAAAATTCTCTTTTAGTTTAAAATAAATTTCCTTGAAAAAGAAATAATATATTTTTTATATGATAAATATTTTTTTTTAATTTATCTATATTTATTGATTTAATGATTATATCCCAGGCGTTAAATATAGTCATGTGAAAGCAGGTATTTTTTTCCCCAGGTGTCAGTATTTTACGGGATGTGAATGAGCGGTTTTGTTTACATTTGAAGATCAATACCAGGAACCAGGTGTATAATCCACTATTAAATTCGGTTTAAAAGAATCCTCAGCGGCTGGTAATAATAGTTCAGTGTTCGTCATAAATTATAGGTAGAATCAGCGACATCAAACCGCTGATATTAATTGAATATTTAATTGTACGCTACTAGCTGATGGCCGATATCTCCAGCCAAGATCTTGTTCCTTCATCTGACGGCAGCGCCACCGACCTCTCTTATGGCGCTCACTAAGGCTCTTTCTTACCTGTGTTTGTGTGAATGTTTGTGTGGTGGTGATGTTTGTGTGGTGGTGGTGTTTGTGTGGAGTGTTTGTGTGGTGGTGGTGTTTGTGTGGTGGTGATGTTTGTGTGGTGGTGTGTTTGTGTGGTGGTATTTGTGTGGTGGTGGTGTTTGTGTGGTGGTGGTGTGTGTGGTGGTGTTTGTGTGGTGGTGGTGTTGTGTGGTGGTGGTGTTTGTGTGTGTGTGTGTGGTGGTGGTGTTTGTGTGAGTGTTTGTGTGGTGGTGTTTGTGTTGGTGATGTTTGTGTGGTGGTGATGTTTGTGTGGTGGTGGTGTTTGTGTGGTGGTGTTTTGTTTGTGTGGTGTGTGTTTGTGTGAGTGTTTGTGTGGTGGTGGTGTTTGTGTGGTGGTGGTGTTGTTTGTGTGGTGGTGGTGTTTGTGTGGTGGTGGTGTTGTTTGTGTGGTGGTGGTGTTTGTGTGGTGGTGTTTTGTGTGTGGTGGTGTTTGTGTGTGGTGGTGTTGTTTGTGTGGTGGTGGTGTTGTGTGTGTGGTGTTTGTGTGGTGGTGATGTTTGTGTGGGTGGTGGTGTTTGTTTTTGTGTGATGGCGGTGTTATTGTCATTAATCCTGGCACTGTCATTAATCCTGCACCATTAATCCTGGCACTTAATCCTTAATCCTGGCACTGTCATTAATTCTGGCACTGTCATTAATCCCAAACACTGTCATTAATCCCAAGGCACTGTCATTAATCCCAAGACACCATTACTTCAAAGGCACTGTAACCATGGCACTGTCATTAATCCTGGCACTTCATCACAATCCTGGCATATCATTATCCCAAGACACTGTCATTACAGGCACTGTCATTAACCATGGCACTGTCATTAATCCTGGCACTCATTAATCCCAAGGCATTGTCATTAATCCTGGCACTATCATTAATCCCTAGGCACTGTCATTAATCCTGGCACATCATTAATCCCAAGGTACTGTCATTAATCTAAGGCACTGTCATTAATCTTAATCACTGTCATTAATCGGCACTGTCATTAATCCTAAGGCACTGTCATTAATCCTAATGCACTGTCATTAATCCCAAGGCACTATCATTAATCCCAAGGCACTGTCATTAATCCTGGCACTATCATTAACCCCAAAGCACTGTCATTAATCCCAAGACACTGTCATTAATCCCAAGACACTATCATTACACTGTCACTGTCATTAATCCTGGCACTATCATCAATCCCAAGGCACTGTCATTAATCCTGGCACTGTCATTTATCCCAAGGTACTATCATTAATCCTGGCACTGTCATTAATCCCAAGGTACTGTCATTAATCCTGGCACTGTCATTAATCCTGGCACTATCATTCAACCCAAGGTACTGTCATTAATCCTGGCACTGTCATTAATCCTGGCACTATCATTAATCCCAAGGTACTGTCATTAATCCTGGCACTGTCATTAATCCTGGCACTGTCATTAACCATCATACAATACTAAACATCGTAAACTCAGTCGTAAAAGATAAAGTCAACACAATATTTCTCGACTCGTTTCTAAAAATTATAAATAAATAAAAAGGAAATTATTTGGAACTATTCTTTTTTTATTATTTATATTTTTCCCCCATAAAGAACGTTCGCTTGTCACTATGGCCTTAACTATATACAGAGATAACAGTTAATACAATATTCCCCAGAGTTGTATTAACATAATTTATAAACCATTTGGGAGTTTGTTAATTTATTTTTATTTTTTTGTTGGAGAAGGGGGCTGAAGTTTTAATGTTTTTTTTTTTGGTGGATTTCGGTGGTTAAAATCTTTATAAAGGTAGTATAGTGGTTTATATATGTACTGTAGTCTTATATAATACTTCATGAACTACCGAGATTCTGACCTAACCAAACTACACCAAACCCCATTCACCTGTATACAAAAAACGTGTTTAAGCATCACATAGAAGAAGCAATGGTTTAGGGGAGGGAAGGGGTGGGGGTAATCCTCAGGTGACCCGAGAATTAAACTGTGGAATTTTACACACCTAAGTCGTGTTTTATACTTGAAAGTTACCTTCTATTCAACTCAAAGGTCAAAGGTCATATAACGATTAGCTTGAGTGAATAACAGTAAAATGAAGACAAATTTAACAGTGGTAAAAGAAAAAGTGTGTAAGTATGAAAGTTTCCTCCTAGGAGTTGGTGGTCGGGGTGTTGTCAGGGTGTTGTCATTGTCAGGGTGTTGTCATTGTCAGGGTGTTGTCATTGTCAGGGTGTTGTCATTGTCAGGGTGTTGTCATTGGATGTGGGTGTTGTCATTGTCAGGTGTTGTTATTGTCAGGGTGTTGTTATTGTCAGGTGTCATTGTCAGGTGTTGTTATTGTCAGGGTGTTGTCATGTTAGTGTTGTCATTGTCAGGGTGTTGTCATTGTCAGGTGTTGTCATTGTCAGGGTGTTGTCATTGACAGGGTGTTGTTATTGTCAGGGTGTTGTCATTGACAGGGTGTTGTTATTGTCAGGTGTTGTCATTGTCAGGTGTTGTCATTGTCAGGGTGTTGTTGTCAGGTGTTGTTATTAACAGGGTGTTGTCATTGTCAGGTGTTGTCATTGTCAGGTGTTGTCATTGTCAGGGTGTTATTGTCAGGGTGTTGTCATTGTCAGGGTGTTGTCATTGTCAGTGTTGTCATTGTCAGGGTGTTGTCATTGTCAGGGTATTGACAGGGTGTTGTTATTGTCAGGGTGTTGTCATTGACAGGGTGTTGTTATTTGTCAGGTGTTGTCATTGTCAGGGTTGTCATTGTCAGGGTGTTGTCATTGTCAGGGTGTTGTCATTGTCAGGGTGTTGTTATTGTCAGGGTGTTGTCATTGTCAGGGTGTTGTCATTGTCAGGGTGTTGTCATTGTCGGGTGTCATTGTCAGGGTGTTGTCATTGTCAGGTGTTGTCAT